TCCTACATTATAAGATGAAAGTAAAATAAAGCGTTTCATTGGGAGTTTTAATGATTACGAAAAAAATACTATTTTACTTCTAAAGATGAAATAAAAAATAAACTAAAGTGCGATGAGTGATATTTACTTTCAGCCAGTGCTTCGCTGTTCAATGATGCGCAAACACAATACATAGATATTACATGAACTAACAAGTAGAGACTTGTAAAACATAGGTAGTAATATGCAGCATGAAACCTCAAAATTTCTCTCTTAGATGAGTCTTCAAGATGCAACTTTTCGTATAATAAATAATAGAAAGAAAACCTGACATAGTAAATTATTATTGAAATGCAAGATTTCCCGGGAAAATAAAATTTCCCGGAATTTTTCTCGTAGGGAATAAACGGTGAGAATCCCGGGGAAAGAAACCCTAGTTGATGATAATGATGATAATAATAATAATCAACGCAGAGCCCAAACGGTTAGGAGTTGAAATTTGGTACACAGATAGGGTACGTCACAAAAACGCACACTAAGAAGGGGTTTTTCGAAATCCCCCCGCCTCCTCGGAGAGAGACAGGATTAAAACCTTTATATGGATAGGAGCTCAAACGGTTAGGAGTTGAAAGTTGAAATTTGGTAGACAGTTAGGGTACGTTAGGAGAACGCACACTAAGAAGGGATTTTTCGAAATTCTTCCCCACGGGGAGAGGGACAGGATTAAAGCTTAACACTTCCATCAACAATGGAAGTGCTAAGTAACAATGGAAGTGTTAAGTAACAATGGAAGTGTTAAGTAACAATGGAAGTGCTAAGTAACAATGGAAGTTTTAAGTAACAATGGAATTGTTAAGAGAAAGCGACATGCAAGACGCAGATGCAGTTTTTTTCGTTTTTGCAGGAAATCAAACATATTTTTAGACCCATCTAAAAATTCTCTAATTAGTCTGGAAACAAGGGGACCCAATTCTTGCATTCTGTGAAATCGAACATATTTTTAGACCCATCTAAAAATTCTCTAATTAGTCTGGAAACAAGGGGACCCAATTCTTGCATTCTGTGAAAACGGGTAAGGTTGACTGTAACGTAATAATCTTTATCTTAGTTATCGTTACTTTTGCCTGAGCAATGCCAGGCCCACCTGCTAGTATATATATAAATCTTTCATGTGTAAGAAGTTAATTTAACTTTTTATTATAGGATTTGATTCTTATTTGTATTGACATAAAATTTCTTAACAGACATTTACTGCTTGGTGTAACTCACATCTTCGTAAAGCTGGAACACAAATAGAAAACATTGAGGAAGATTTTAGGAATGGTTTAAAGTTGATGTTGCTATTGGAAGTTATATCAGGAGAGACTTTACCAAAGCCAGACAGAGGAAAAATGAGATTCCATAAGATTGCAAACGTTAACAAAGCTTTAGATTTTATTGCAAGTAAAGGAGTGAAATTAGTATCTATTGGAGCTGAAGGTATGAGTACTTAAGCATAATTGTTTTATTTGGCTAAATTATATTGAGGTCAAATGCGAACATCATATGATCATATAATTGAAATATAAATATTTAAAAAGTAAAATCATTTTTTTTTTATTTAAGATAGTGTTGAATAAAAATTATGCTTTAGTTTAATATAGAATTATTTCTAAAATGAAAGAAATAATTTTAATATTACATTCTATCAGTTATTTGCATGTGGATTCTACCTATTTAATAATAAAATCACAGTAGTAATCTTAAGTAATGAAGTATGAAGCAACAGTATAAACTTATTTAATTTTAAAACTTTAAATTTTTAAATAGAAATTGTTGATGGAAATGTGAAGATGACACTTGGATTAATTTGGACCATTATTCTAAGATTTGCTATTCAAGATATTTCAGTTGAAGGTAACAATATCTAAACACTAAACCTTTATGCAAAAAGATGTTGAGTTATTTAAAATGTGTGTAAATGTTATGAAATTTTGATGATTCTTGTTTGTTTTTCCTTCTAGAAATGACAGCAAAGGAAGGTTTACTTTTATGGTGTCAAAGAAAAACAGCTCCCTACAAAAATGTGAATGTTCAGAACTTCCATCTCAGGTAAATATTGAAATTAGATTAAATTTTGACATTTAAATATTTAAGTATATTTGTTTTAACTATATTTATTAATTATGTATAATTGGTAACAATAATCTAAATTAAACCTTTTCTTACTACTATACAGCTGGAAGGATGGTTTGGCCTTCTGTGCTTTGATCCATAGACATCGTCCAGACTTATTAGATTATTCCAAATTGACCAAGGTTTGTTTATTAAATATGTAAATTTGTTTATTATTAACTTTAACATTATTAATTTTTGTAATGTTGGTATAGGACAATCCACTCGATAATTTGAATCTGGCATTTGATGTTGCTGAGAAATACTTGAATATTCCAAGAATGTTAGATCCTGAAGGTAAATTAGAGTATTTAAATAAATTTTAAAAATTATTTTTGGTGCTGAAAAAGCATGAATTATTAAAATATTTGGACGGAATGCATGTGATGATATAACAAATTTGTTTTGAAAATAATGCAGTTACATGAAATCATAGTTTACTAATCAAATACTATTAATTTTTGATTAGTAAATGATTAATCATGTAATGATNTAGATTAAGTAAATATATTTTGCTTAGAACAGTTAATTCAAAAGATAAGATTAAAATATTTGCAATTTTTCATGTTTATAGCGAAATTTAAATTACAAATATTTATTATTTTGGCCATACTAAAAGTAGTTATTGCTAAAACAAAAATTTAGTAAGAAAACTCCAAGTTATATAAATTTCATATTTAAAATTTAAAATATGAAATTTATTCTTAAAATTATTCTTTAGATTAGTTCTTTGAAATTAGATACACATATCATATTTCTAAGTTAATGTTAAATGATCTGTCAGGTTGGTTGATTTAGCCTTAATGTAGCTCAATCAGATAATCTAGCAGATTGTTTGGCATTAATTAAAATCAGGCTATTGAATTTGTTTTATATTTACAGTATATATTTTCATGTATTTGCCAATTTTAAATGTTATATAAAGAAAAACAGCTCATTTAAATTTTGATAAAATGTCAAGTTTGGCCATTGAAAATTTGGAAAGATTGATTTATATTTCTTCTTATTATTTTATTAATATACCCTTTTAAATATTTCATTAATTTAATCAATTATTCATAGAATACTTACATTAATTTAGGCTGAAACAGCTGCAAATCGTATCTGTAAAGTACTTAAAGTTAACCAGGAGAATGAACGATTGATGGAAGAATATGAACGCTTAGCCAGTGATGTAGGTATATTAAAATGTCTAGAGTATTAAAATAAAAAAATAACTTTATCTACTTTTATACTTATACTGAACATGTAAGGTGACCTTTACAATAGAAAACTTAATAAAAAATTAAAATATATATGAATATTTGCATGAAATTTTTTATTTATTAGTTATTGGAATGGATTCGTCGTACAACACCTTGGCTCGAAAATCGCACAACAGATAACACATTAGCTGGTGTTCATAAAAAACTGGATGAATTCAGAAATTATAGGAGAATGCATAAGCCTCCTCGTGTAGAACAAAAAGCTAAACTTGAGACTAATTTTAAGCCAAGCTTTACTTATAAAACATTCTACACTATTAGTTTTTAAAATTATGCTGAAAATCAGAAATAACAAGTTTTTTTTAAGAAAAATGAAACATTTGTTTTACACCCAAAAAAGTTATTGTTTTACCTCTGAATATTACACACAGAATAATAAAATATTGAATTATTGGAATTCCAAATACTCCAAAATTTGTGTTAGCATTAAAAAAAAATCATAATTTATTATACAATTTCATTTAGAGAGAATTTAGATTTATAATAATTTTTTGTAATAAAATAATTTTGTTTGATTTTTAATAATTATAATAATTTAAATTTTCTAATGTAACTAACTAAATCCCATGATTTAAACCTTTAGATATTTTAAATTAATAGTATATTTAACTATAACTATATATATGTTAAAAATATAATCATAATAAACTCTATTTAATATATCTTATTAATAATGCATTGTTTTTAAGTAATTTATTGAACTTAGTTTGTTTTGTAGCCTAACATTTTTAATACTAAGAATAAAGATGACTGCTAAAACCTGCATGAGAGTGGCTTGAGACATTCACTGCTCATTCTGAAGCATGAAAATGAGGCAATGTGTTTCTGCATGACACATTATATTCTAATATTTAGACAAAATTTTGTCTAATATCCATTCTCATATTCTCAGACATGGTGAACACACCTAAGCCTGATGAGAGAGCAGTGATGACATACGTCTCTTGTTACTACCATGCCTTCCAAGGTGCACAGCAGGTAATGAAAAGTTGTCATTGTACATTTATTCATTATATATATTAAATGTCAACAGATATACATAATACCCCTATGCCTGATGAAAGAGCTGTGATGACATATGTTTCATCTTATTATCATACATTTTCTGGGGCTCAACAGGTATGGTATTTTTCAGTATAAAAATGCTGTCTTTCTGTGAGTATTAGATATGATTAAATTGTATACATAAAACTGAAAATTTGATATTTTATATTTATTTTAAAGCATAAAATAGATATTTTTTATATCAAATGTAGTAGTAAATACTAAAGTTTCAAGTTAATCTAAATACACAAATTTTATAATTTTATTACTATTAATATATTAGAATTAAACATTTTATACTTTAAAATGATATAAAATAAAATAGATTTTGTATGAAGTACACAATAACATTTTATTCTATAATTTATTCAAAATATTTGTGCATCTTATGCACACACGTTTTTAATAAAGTATTGAATTATGCATCTTAACATTTTTAGTTTTAAAAAGAAACCTTTTATACATGCTTATTACAATATATAATTTTTTAAATCTGTTTCACTTTCAAAATGAATGCAATATTCANTATTCAAAATATTTGTGCATCTTATGCACACACGTTTTTAATAAAGTATTGAATTATGCATCTTGACATTTTTAGTTTTAAAAAGAAACCTTTTATACATGCTTATTACAATATATAATTTTTTAAATCTGTTTCACTTTCAAAATGAATGCAATATTCAAAACTTCTATTCAAAGTTTTATAACCGTATTTAACTAGTAAATATACTGTCAGCCTTAAAAGATTTTTGGTAATATGCTAGTTTAAATATTTTGCATATATCTTGTATGTAAAAATCTTTAGGAAAATTAAAAACTAAAATCATAACTTGTAGTCTAAGTTGAAAAGATATTTGCAAATATCTTCCTTGCTAATACTTTTTTTCAAGTTATAGATTAATATTATAATTAAATTCAAATCATGTTAGTATTGTTTTCTTGATTCTAATGTGCACCTGACTTTCAAGACTTCAAAACCCAAAATTAGTTATTTTGTGAATGTAATTCCTGTCCTATATTGAAAATGCAGCTTGCATTAGTTCAAAAGACCAGCAAAATCTTCCAATACCAAAATTAAAACTGAAGTAATGGTCCTTCCACTACTTTAGTTTGAATTTTGGTTTTGGAAGTTGATATGACTATACTGACATCATAATACACACAAATTGCTGAGCAGAGTGAAGAGCAAATGGCTTGAACAAGACTCTATTAAGTCTTTTCTTTGGTCAAAAAAAAATAAAAAATAAAAAAAAGTCAAAGTAAGATTATATTAGAATCAGTAAAACATGATATTTATAATAAAAAGTTGATAATGAGTGTAATTGAAATTGTTTTATTTAGAAATTCTTGATAAAATAGAATTTAGCTGGAAAGGAATAAGATTTAAAATGCAAATTGCTTTTCATTTTCTAAAAAAGAAATTTATTCTTGTACAGCACATTTAATATTAATGTAGGAACATTATAGGTTAAATAATTTTATTTTTTAAAATTGGATTTTATTATGTTTAACTAAATGATAATTATGAGAATATAAATAGCAACATTGAACAACATTGTTTACAATAAAAATTCTATTAGAAATAAGTTAAGGAAAAATATGTATTTATTTATTTAGAAAATATATGTTTTTATTTATTAAAATAATAATCTTGGCTGAATTTGAATGAAAATTTTTATTTACATAATAAATTATATTGATCTCCAAGTTATATAAATTTCATATTTAAAATTTAAAATATGAAATTTATTCTTAAAATTATTCTTTAGATTAGTTCTTTGAAATTAGATACACATATCATATTTCTAAGTTAATGTTAAATGATCTGTCAGGTTGGTTGATTTAGCCTTAATGTAGCTCAATCAGATAATCTAGCAGATTGTTTGGCATTAATTAAAATCAGGCTATTGAATTTGTTTTATATTTACAGTATATATTTTCATGTATTTGCCAATTTTAAATGTTATATAAAGAAAAACAGCTCATTTAAATTTTGATAAAATGTCAAGTTTGGCCATTGAAAATTTGGAAAGATTGATTTATATTTCTTCTTATTATTTTATTAATATACCCTTTTAAATATTTCATTAATTTAATCAATTATTCATAGAATACTTACATTAATTTAGGCTGAAACAGCTGCAAATCGTATCTGTAAAGTACTTAAAGTTAACCAGGAGAATGAACGATTGATGGAAGAATATGAACGCTTAGCCAGTGATGTAGGTATATTAAAATGTCTAGAGTATTAAAATAAAAAAATAACTTTATCTACTTTTATACTTATACTGAACATGTAAGGTGACCTTTACAATAGAAAACTTAATAAAAAATTAAAATATATATGAATATTTGCATGAAATTTTTTATTTATTAGTTATTGGAATGGATTCGTCGTACAACACCTTGGCTCGAAAATCGCACAACAGATAACACATTAGCTGGTGTTCATAAAAAACTGGATGAATTCAGAAATTATAGGAGAATGCATAAGCCTCCTCGTGTAGAACAAAAAGCTAAACTTGAGACTAATTTTAATACTTTGCAAACTAAACTTCGTCTAAGTAATCGCCCTGCTTATCTGCCATCTGAAGGAAAAATGGTTTCTGTAAGTGTTTTTGTTACTTTTTTATTGTTTGTTCTTTAATTTTTATATAACTTTTGTTGTTTTGTATCTAATTTAAAACAATATAAATATTATAATTAAGAATTTTTGTCTTTCTTCAATGATAGGATATTGCAAATGCTTGGAAGGGACTAGAAACTGCAGAAAAAGGATTTGAAGAATGGCTGTTATCAGAAATGATGAGGTAATTTTATTTCTAAATAAATCATAAACAGTTATTATTTCTATATATTAAAAGAAAGCTGTTATTAGGCCTTTTCAAAAAATAATCATGTTAATGTTAAAAACTATTTTTAATAGATTGGAACGTTTAGATCATTTGGCTCAAAAATTCAAACATAAAGCTGATATTCATGAAGAATGGACACATGGAAAAGAAGAGATGCTGCAAAGTCAAGACTTCAGAAATTGCAGATTAAATGAATTAAAGGTAATGTTTAAATGCAATGAAAAATGTGTATATATTTCATGTTTACATAAAATATATTCCTGTGATATTATTTGGTGGGTAGTAATAGTAGAAGATCAAATGAAAAGTTTGTCTAAACATTTGTGTTATAGTTAAGATCAGATGGATACTAAAGTTTTGCCATCTCTAACTAGGAATAAAGAAACAAGCAGGGAAAAAAGCACATTTCTTAAAGAAATAGACTGTATCAAGTACTTACTCAAATTTCAAATGCTACTGTGGAATTTTAACTGGAATTCACATAAGCCCTAAATTTTACAAGTTAGCAAAATGATAACTTATTCTTCCATTTCTGTTTATAATACAATGTAAAAATTTTGTGGATATTATTTTTATATAGTTATAAAATTCTGGAAATTCTTATAGTATTTAAGTTCATGAAAGTAAAAAAATTTATATCAAATATGTATTTCTCTGTAGTTTTTGATAGATTGTAAATTGGTCTTCCATATAGGACTTATAAAACATTTTTAACTAGCTCTAGTTCATAGTTAAAATATTTAACTAAACACCAACGATATGCCGAAAATCTATCGGGCTAGTATTAGGCTAATTACTAAATGAATTACGTAATAACTGTTGTAATAACCGTCGATGGTTATATAGTTAGCTTATATACGCTGGAAGAGGAGATCGGACTGGAGGTCCGAATAGCGTAACTGGCAACGCATCTGCACGGTGGGCAGGAGTTGTGGGTTTGAGTCCTGCTCCGGGCCGATTTTTTTTTTTTCCCAGCGGTTCTAAATTATTTAAATTAATTTATTTATTTAAAATTATTAATATTAATAAGAGATGGCGCCTAACGCCTACCTCTAGTGCCAAATTGATTACGTAATTCATTTAGTAATTAGCCTAATACTAGCCCGATAGATTTTCGGCATATCGTTGGTGTTTAGTTATGTTATATATCGGGTTTAGCGATGTTTGTTAAAATATTTGTGCAAATTATTTTTAATTAGAGCCTTTTTATCACAATCTTTTTGCTAAAGCATGACATAAATTCAATTCATCCCAATTATACATAAAATTTTAAATTGTTTGGTTTAATCTTTATTTTACTTTAATTTATTTGAATGAAAATTTTTAGTTATTTTGATAATTATAGATTAGGTCCCAAACTTTTTTGGTCATAAAAACCCTTTAGAAGACTTTTTTTGTAATAAAACATTGGATGTAACCACAAACTTTATGTTGGTACATTAAAATATTGGATTTATGTCTGATGTGATGAATAAAATTGTTTCATTTTTATACTTAAAATAGTTTTGAAATTGGGCTTTGTCTGAGAGCTGAATACATAAATCCAAGTGATATCCTTTATACTCCTAAATTTGCTTTCGTTGTAAGCACCAGCTGAAAAGTCTGATTTGCATAGGTAGACATACTGGCTCCTTTTTTCTGATCACTCCTACTCAAAAGTCATTCAGTGTCAGATTCAAATTTCCTTTTTAAGATAAGTGAATTTTAATAAGTGCTTCATATTCTGACATAGACAACATGTGAGGTTTATTTCAGTTAAGAAATTAGGTTTTACACCTAATCAAATGGATTTACTGAGAAGTCTTATCAGATCTTTTTTTAACTGATTGATTTTCATAATATGCAAGAAAGTTTTTCTCCGCTTGTTTTTTTTTATCTCAGAATATTTTAAGTTCATAAAAATTAATGATTATAATTCAGAATATATGTTAGTTTGGAAAACTTTTTACATCAAACAGGTTAAGAATGACAATGTCAAATGTTAATATAGAAAAGATCTCTTCATGTAAACTTTTAGTTTTTTAGGACATTTTGAATTAATTACATTTGAGGACTTGCTCATTAATGAAAAAAATTTTCCTATTGTGTCATGATTAAGGCTCTGGCTCCAGCCAAATGTTTAATTTTTAACTGCAATTGTTTGAGGTAGGAGTATATTATTCAAACTATTTTATTTTAATAATTTATTTATATTCTGTTCTAATGCTTTATACAAATTTTATATAAACAATAGAAATAATCATTTGTTCACATATGACAACATGTAATTTTAGCATTATTTTTAGTTATATAAAACTATAATTAAAAGGAAGAAATCATAGAAAATATAATGAGATATCAATAAACAATTAAGTAATAATTACTATTCACCAATTATTTACCATCATTAGCCCTGCACCTGATTGACACAGTTGTTCAGTCTGTTTTTATAATTGCCAGTTTATATTACAAAGATCTTAACAGTACTTAACAAATAAGCAAAGTCAACATTGTAAGAATGTTACAACAAAGATGTGAATATCCAAGTCATCAAAAAAAATAAGAAAAAAGAGTTAGAGCCAAGAATTTTTTTAAAGAATATAGTTCTGACTCTGGCTTCAGTAAAAAATGGAAGCTCTGACTGGCTCCAAAGTCCTGGTAATCAACAAGGAAATGCTTTCTTTACAGATAAATCATATATTTTTCTTTTACATGGTTTTTATGGTATAAATTATTTGTTTTAATTATCTAAATCAATGTTGTTTTTATTTCATTTTTAATATTTGCTCAATAATTAAATTCAATTTATAAATCTAAAATGTATTTTATTTATTTATATACACACTTAAAATTTAGTTATCTATATATTAACATACTAATTTTTTTTAATAAAAAAAAAGGCATTGAAAAAGAAACATGAAGCATTTGAGAGTGATCTCGCTGCTCATCAAGATAGAGTAGAACAAATTGCTGCTATTGCTCAAGAATTAAAGTGAGTAAATTTTAATTGATTTTAGATATTTTATAATGAAATACTACTAAAGTATGTTACATTTATATTATAGTGTTTTCTATATTTGCCTGAAAAGAATTAAATATTTAGTAGTCCGAATAATGATTTTGAACATGTTTATCTATCCAAATTGAGTAGAACAGCACTTTTGTAATCTAATAATGAAACAAAATGCCTCAAAAAATGTTTAATCTTGATTAAAATATCTGGACTTTAATATTCTAGCATTTCTATATTTGTCTGATTATTCTGATAGAATTGTATATATCTGAACATCCATTTCTTTCAGAAACACAAAGGAAAAAATTATTAGTTATGTAATCAAAAAGTAACAAGTTGATTAAAAATAAAGATTATCTTATTGATTTTATGAAATGTACAGATATTAAGAACATAATAAAATGAAATATTTGTAGTTCTATAAAGTGTTTCAATGCATTCTTAATCAATTATAAAATTCTGTTAATGATATTGAAAGATGAACTTAATTTTAGATAGTTTTAAAAATATCTTAGCTAAATTTAAAAACAATATTTCGTATATTTTAAGTTTTGAAACTAAATTCCATTTTAATTAAATTTGTTATAATTAACAGTGCTCTTGACTATCATGATTCTGCATCAGTTAATGCTAGATGTCAGAGAATCTGTGATCAGTGGGATCGCTTAGGCACTCTTACACAAAAACGAAGAAATGCTCTTGAGGTATAGATTTTTGTGTTTAATTTTATTCTGATGTATATATTAATAAAATTTTTAACTTTACTAAAAAAATTTAAAATTAACAAAATATTTTTGTATGTTAGGAAGCAGAACGTGTATTGGAGAAAATTGATCAATTACATCTTGAATTTGCCAAGAGAGCTGCTGTGAGTAAATTTACTTATTAGAAATTAATATGTTATCATTTTCAATATATATTTTATTTTATTTTAGCCCTTTAATAATTGGCTGGATGGAGCTAGAGAAGATCTTGTTGATATGTTTATTGTTCATACAATGGATGAAATTCAAGGTTTAATTGATGCTCATGAACAATTTAAACAAACATTAGGTGAAGCTGATAAGGAACACAAATCCATCATTTCTCTATCACATGAAGTTCAGACTATTGCCACACAATATCAAGTGCCAGGTGGTATTGAGAATCCATATACTACTTTAACTGCCAGTGTTAGTAATTTTTAAATTATTTTAATTCTATATTATTTATTTAAATCTTAGTTGTGATTGTTTTTTAATTTGTAGGATATTAGTAATAAATGGACAGATGTGAAGCAATTAGTACCAAAGAGAGACCAAGTATTGCAGACTGAACTTATGCGCCAACAGTGTATCCTTCAAAAAATTTTATTAACCATGATATTGCTAAATTTTATCAATTAATAATCTGAAATTTCAGAATTGATGATAATTTTACTTGTTTAAACTTAACTGGAAATTAGCTAATGAACGCCTTAGAAGGAAGTTTGCTGAAAAAGCTAATGTTGTAGGTCCTTGGATAGAAAGACAGATGGATGCAGTTGCTGCTATTGGTATGGGAATGCAAGGATCTTTAGAGGACCAATTAGGAAAATTACAGCAATATGAACAAGCTGTCATTCAATACCGTCCACACATGGATGAATTAGAAAAATGTCACCAGGTAAATTCTGTTGTCATGCATTCCTAAATAAATTTTTCAGGTAGAAATTTGAAAGTAAATTTTTTTTATTTATGCTTAACTATTCTGTAAGTATTAGATCATAATCTAAAAATACTTCAGGTATTTCTAGTAGTTTGCTACAGACTGTCTGTTAGTCATCATTTAAATATAGCAAGTTATGCAGTGATCCAAATGTAGGATTTACAGAATCAGACTTTAAAAGTTTATTTTCAATTGCAGAAGATATTTTTAATTATAAGTTTTTAATGAATTTTTAAACATATTATAGGAAATCCAAGAAGCAATGATATTTGAAAATACTTACACACAATATACTATGGAAGTAAGTTCTATAAATAATAATTGAAACTTTTAAAAAGCTATTTTAAGAATAGAATTCTGACTTCTTTCCTTCTAAATATTTTTAGACATTAAGAGTTGGCTGGGAACAATTACTCACCTCAATCCATCGTAATATTAATGAAGTAGAGAATCAGGTAAGTTTTTTCATGTAATTGTACATTACACTTTTTACATAATTTATTTTATAATAATGGATTTTGTTTTTTTCTCTAAGATCTTAACTAGAGATTCGAAAGGAATAACTCAAGATCAACTAAATGAATTCCGAATGTCATTTAATCATTTTGATAAGAATCGTACAGGAAGATTGGGTCCAGAAGAATTTAAATCTTGCCTAGTGAGTCTTGGTTACAATATTCGTAATGACCGACAGGTATGTAGATTATATTTATTTATTTTTTAATAAACTCTTAACAGAAAATTGCATTTATGATTATATTATTTTCAGGGAGAATCTGATTTTAGGAGGATCATGAGCATTGTAGATCCAAATAATACAAATTTTGTTCATTTTGATGCCTTCCTTGACTTTATGACTAGAGAGAGCACTGATTCTGACACTGCTGAACAAATAATTGATTCATTTAGAATCTTAGCTGGAGACAAGGTATGATGATTTTATTTTTTGAAGTAACAATACACACAAAAGTTAGCAAATTTAATTTTAATTGTTAAATTGGTTTTCTGTTTTAGTCTCAATATCCATTAGTTTTTATAATCTAATCTCATAAGTAAATCCATTTTTAAAGCAGATGAAGATTATTTAAGCATTTATGTCATTTATTATAAGCATTTATGTCATTAAATTTACATTTCAATAAGTTTAATAATTATTTCTCTTTATAAGTCAGTATTAAAAACACATAATGATTCTAAGTTATACACTTTACAGATTTTTCTGTTCTGTTTGAAACACACATTTTTTTATTTAAAGACAATTATTATCAGTTGCTAAATTTATACAGGAATCATTAATTTGAACTCTGTTAGTTCAAAATTCAGTTAGTTTGTAACTGTATTGCTTGACCCAGCCAGGGATATAGAAATTTACAAGTTAAGATATTCAGTTAATTTTAAGTATGACTAATTCAAAATTTAAAGTGAAAATTCTGTCCAAACTGTGATATGAGTATGTTAACTCTTTTGTTTAGATTAAGTGCCTCCATATCATAAGAGAACAATAGACCAAGAACAACTCTAATCTGGTTAATGTGCTTTGCTAAAACATTTTGGGCATCATCTTACCTATGGACAATTTTTTTTTCTCTTATCTCATAAAATACAACTGGGTTTTGGGATTGCAAGATTGAGCTAAAAATAGCACATTGATATATTTGTAGGGCTCTAGGCTACTACATTTAGATGACTTACTACTTTTTGGGCCACTTTAAAAATAATTTTCACTGCATTTTGAGGAATTCTATTTTACATTTTATGAAGCCTGTCTGCCAACCTGTGAGGTTCTTATCAGGCATGTGCTGTTTATCTACAGTTTATTTACATTTTTTTTATTAATTAACAAAAATAGCATTCTGTGTACGTAGATGTCTTTCATTTGTTTAATAAATTATTTCAGTAATGTGGCATTTGGCATAGTGTACAGGAATATGTTAATCTTGGATAATTTGAAACTTGATAATTCAAAATCGCAATTATTTTGTCTTTTGAATTTCAAACTAACAAGGATTACCCATATATAAGCTCACTCACTCACACTTGCTTTCATGTTTACACTCTCTCTCTTTAAATGTTTCTTTATAAATTTAGATGAAATTGTCTGTTAAAATTAAAATGTTACCATTGGATTAATAAGAATTGTGTTTCATTTTTAAATTTTTGTGCTAGTTAGCTGTAATGATAACAGATTATAAATAACGTTTTGTCATACAGTTTTAATCCAGTTATAATTAAAATGTATTCAGATTCTCAAAAATCAGAATTTTTATCTGTACAAGTAAATATAATAATCTTTATTTTATCCAATCATTACAGGTATTGCTTTGATATAATTTGATTACCAGCTCCTATAAAAAAGTATTAAAACAAAACAAAAACAATACATTGTAAAAAATGTTTACAATATAATTTATAAAGTTTGTTAATATTTACAAAACTAGATGTAATGCATTCTCAAATCCCTCCATTGAAAGTATAGCTCAATAAAAAAAATTCTTTGAGAAAAACTTATGAAAAGAGGAACTGTATAAAAATTCTGTCATATCAAAAAATCTAGTAATGTACCTGAATATTTATGGATTATATCAAAAAAAAAAAATTAAGTATAATCTTAGCCTGATGCAATACAAAAATTTTTGAATTGAACTAATAAATGTATATTCAGTAAACCATTTCTAAATACTGCAAAAATGTATATGAAATAATGAACTTCATAAATTCAAATTAAAGTTCTTGATCTTGTATAATTTTCTTATGACACTTTTTTATTTTTAACCATGATCTAAAAACACTAAGAGTGCTATTTTTGCAAGCCCATTATTGGATTCAGCCTGACCCATTATAGGGTAATCAAATAGTGAGAATAGGACCTGACTAAAATTTTAAGGCTCCCAACTGATTTTAATCTAGGATCTTCAGAGTGGCAGGCTGATGCATTAGCTCTCCTATGACTGATATATATCTAATATGCATAGATATACAGGGTAATCTGTTTTAGTCAATCCAATGAAATAACTCAAAATACACATACTGCAAAAAAATCGTTAAACAGAAAATGTTAGCCCATCTTTTGCCTACTTGAAGTCTATTAGTTTCATCATTGATGGTGCTATAATTGGTGAAAATGAGATTATCTTTCTTTTCTGAAATGGAAACTCTATTTTTTTTTATTGCATATTATAATTCTGCATCACAAACAAACTTGTATTTAATATATGGAATAATTTTTTTTCTTCAAATAATGAACTAATACAAAACTTTTTGCCACAGTTCAAGGTAATCTTAAATTTATTCAATACATTTTTCACTATAAGCTTTTAGTGGAATGTTTAATTAACATGAATGTCTGTCAGTGTTCTCCTATGGAAAATGATGTTCAGAGACCTTTTTCATTTTGCTGAATATATTAGTCAATTCTCTATTGGAAATGTCTCGCAGGTTTTAATAAAACTTTTCATTTGCACAAGCTATTTAAATCTTCCCAATCATATCTTCTTTAGGTGTTGGTTCTTGTTGATAGGCATTTTTTAAATATTCCCAAAAATAAGTCATGTGAAGTCAAGTCTGACAATTGCATCGGCCATTGTACTGGTCCATGTTGTTCAACTTACCTTTCATTAAAGTTTCAATTTAAATTATTTACAACAATTCATGAATGGTAGGGTCTTGCTCCATTGAACTGAATTTTTTTCAGTGCTTTTTTTTCTTTCAAGAGATTAAAATAAACCACTCTGATGATACTTTTAATGTTTTTTGTATTCAGTTGATTTTAATAACTTTTTCAAACAAATTACATTTGCATTCTGAATTTATTTATAGTTGAACTCCATTAATGGCCATTGTTCAGAATCTGAAAATATTTTAAAGCTGCAATAATTTTGATATTCAAAAACTATGCATTGTATTTGATTAAGATAAAACTAGTGTTTCATCATCGTTTTTTTGTTAAATTTATGATATAGATTAAGTAAATATATTTTGCTTAGAACAGTTAATTCAAAAGATAAGATTAAAATATTTGCAATTTTTCATGTTTATAGCGAAATTTAAATTACAAATATTTATTATTTTGGCCATACTAAAAGTAGTTATTGCTAAAACAAAAATTTAGTAAGAAAAATGAACATAAAATAAATTTGTTTCAATTACACACTATTTTGAAAATCATTGTTTAAAATATTTTTAATGATTTGAGGAAAATTCCAAGATAGTATTGAAAAATGAAATTAAGAATTTTACTATTGTTTCTATTCATTTTTGTAATTATAATAATTATAAAAATAGAATAGAAATACCAGTATTAGAAGAGTAGAAGTCTTCTCTCTTCTACTGTTATTTCTATTCTAATTTTGTTTCTATTTATTTCTATGTGATATTTTTATTTGTGTTTTAGTTATTCTATTCGTCACAGAAATTTCTGTAAAGATAAAGATCTATTGTTAGAAATTAGTTTCAAACATTTTCGTAATTAATTTCTTACTGCTTTCTCTATTATGTGTTCAGACTGTTAAGACCATTATTAAATTATTTTATCTATTTTTTCCCCCCACTTGATGTGTGAAATATCAAATGTTTCTTCTGAAACATAATTCTTAAAATTTGAAGTATTTCTAAAGAAATAAATATTCAATTGTGAATGAAACAAAATTCAACTATTCACTGCAATATTCGATATATTTAATATCTACTTTTCTGACATTGTTTTCACTTTTATATGGTAAAACTTAGATATTTCATATTGATTTTTCAAAAATATTAGATATAGTAGAATATTAAACACACACACACACACACACTAAAAAAATGCATTTATTTATTTATGACTGCTAAATAATGCTATATATCATGGGATTACTACTCTAACATAACAATTTATTTGCCCTCCAAAAACATAAATAACAAAAGACAAATGATAAAATACATATAAAATATTAAAAAGTAAAGAGTAAGATATAAAAATATACAGAATGTATAAAATTTATGAACTATATATAATTTATAAACATTTTTTAAAAATTATAAAATAAAAAGATATATACATTATAATTTACAATTTTCATTCCTTTATTAAGTATTTTTTAAGCCTAAGTTTTAAAGTGAAATCAAAAAATAAAAATGAGTTAATGCCTAAAGTTTTTGTAACAGTTCAATAAACAACCGTCTAGACAAGAAAATGACAAAAAAGATAAATTTGAGTTGGTTTAAGAAAGACAAATTGTGGGTGTCTCCTAAAGTATTAAGTGGAGAAAGTAACCCATTGAAATACCAATAAAATAAGAGCTGCTCAAAATAATTAATACATGTAAAGACTTTTCAGAATCTAAATAATAATCATGCCACTTCATATGAATCAGTATAAGGTTAAGCAAAAGTTGTTATTAAGTATTAAGGTTGCTAAGTAAAAGTTATAGTGTGTTTAAAATCTTGTTAAAAAGTGAGAAAATGGAACAATAAACTAATTTAGTTTTTAGTTGGAAAAGTTTAAAAGTAATTTTTTTCCCCTATTCAATTTAAAATGAAAACTATTTTGAGTTCACTTTAAATTCTGCCTACATTTTACAATTTTTAGTGTTTGGCATATATAAAACCTAAATGCAGATAAATCAATATTTATTATTTATTAATATTTTTCATAAATCGTTTTCTAGTCTATATTTTCATCCTGTAATGAATAACAATAATAGATTAGGATAAGTTAATAGAAAATATATAAACGAGTTATAACAAGATCTATGNGAAAATATAATGAGATATCAATAAACAATTAAGTAATAATTACTATTCACCAATTATTTACCATCATTAGCCCTGCACCTGATTGACACAGTTGTTCAGTCTGTTTTTATAATTGCCAGTTTATATTACAAAGATCTTAACAGTACTTAACAAATAAGCAAAGTCAACATTGTAAGAATGTTACAACAAAGATGTGAATATCCAAGTCATCAAAAAAAATAAGAAAAAAGAGTTAGAGCCAAGAATTTTTTTAAAGAATATAGTTCTGACTCTGGCTTCAGTAAAAAATGGAAGCTCTGACTGGCTCCAAAGTCCTGGTAATCAACAAGGAAATGCTTTCTTTACAGATAAATCATATATTTTTCTTTTACATGGTTTTTATGGTATAAATTATTTGTTTTAATTATCTAAATCAATGTTGTTTTTATTTCATTTTTAATATTTGCTCAATAATTAAATTCAATTTATAAATCTAAAATGTATTTTATTTATTTATATACACACTTAAAATTTAGTTATCTATATATTAACATACTAATTTTTTTTAATAAAAAAAAAGGCATTGAAAAAGAAACATGAAGCATTTGAGAGTGATCTCGCTGCTCATCAAGATAGAGTAGAACAAATTGCTGCTATTGCTCAAGAATTAAAGTGAGTAAATTTTAATTGATTTTAGATATTTTATAATGAAATACTACTAAAGTATGTTACATTTATATTATAGTGTTTTCTATATTTGCCTGAAAAGAATTAAATATTTAGTAGTCCGAATAATGATTTTGAACATGTTTATCTATCCAAATTGAGTAGAACAGCACTTTTGTAATCTAATAATGAAACAAAATGCCTCAAAAAATGTTTAATCTTGATTAAAATATCTGGACTTTAATATTCTAGCATTTCTATATTTGTCTGATTATTCTGATAGAATTGTATATATCTGAACATCCATTTCTTTCAGAAACACAAAGGAAAAAATTATTAGTTATGTAATCAAAAAGTAACAAGTTGATTAAAAATAAAGATTATCTTATTGATTTTATGAAATGTACAGATATTAAGAACATAATAAAATGAAATATTTGTAGTTCTATAAAGTGTTTCAATGCATTCTTAATCAATTATAAAATTCTGTTAATGATATTGAAAGATGAACTTAATTTTAGATAGTTTCAAAAATATCTTAGCTAAATTTAAAAACAATATTTCGTATATTTTAAGTTTTGAAACTAAATTCCATTTTAATTAAATTTGTTATAATTAACAGTGCTCTTGACTATCATGATTCTGCATCAGTTAATGCTAGATGTCAGAGAATCTGTGATCAGTGGGATCGCTTAGGCACTCTTACACAAAAACGAAGAAATGCTCTTGAGGTATAGATTTTTGTGTTTAATTTTATTCTGATGTATATATTAATAAAATTTTTAACTTTACTAAAAAAATTTAAAATTAACAAAATATTTTTGTATGTTAGGAAGCAGAACGTGTATTGGAGAAAATTGATCAATTACATCTTGAATTTGCCAAGAGAGCTGCTGTGAGTAAATTTACTTATTAGAAATTAATATGTTATCATTTTCAATATATATTTTATTTTATTTTAGCCCTTTAATAATTGGCTGGATGGAGCTAGAGAAGATCTTGTTGATATGTTTATTGTTCATACAATGGATGAAATTCAAGGTTTAATTGATGCTCATGAACAATTTAAACAAACATTAGGTGAAGCTGATAAGGAACACAAATCCATCATTTCTCTATCACATGAAGTTCAGACTATTGCCACACAATATCAAGTGCCAGGTGGTATTGAGAATCCATATACTACTTTAACTGCCAGTGTTAGTAATTTTTAAATTATTTTAATTCTATATTATTTATTTAAATCTTAGTTGTGATTGTTTTTTAATTTGTAGGATATTAGTAATAAATGGACAGATGTGAAGCAATTAGTACCAAAGAGAGACCAAGTATTGCAGACTGAACTTATGCGCCAACAGTGTATCCTTCAAAAAATTTTATTAACCATGATATTGCTAAATTTTATCAATTAATAATCTGAAATTTCAGAATTGATGATAATTTTACTTGTTTAAACTTAACTGGAAATTAGCTAATGAACGCCTTAGAAGGAAGTTTGCTGAAAAAGCTAATGTTGTAGGTCCTTGGATAGAAAGACAGATGGATGCAGTTGCTGCTATTGGTATGGGAATGCAAGGATCTTTAGAGGACCAATTAGGAAAATTACAGCAATATGAACAAGCTGTCATTCAATACCGTCCACACATGGATGAATTAGAAAAATGTCACCAGGTAAATTCTGTTGTCATGCATTCCTAAATAAATTTTTCAGGTAGAAATTTGAAAGTAAATTTTTTTTATTTATGCTTAACTATTCTGTAAGTATTAGATCATAATCTAAAAATACTTCAGGTATTTCTAGTAGTTTGCTACAGACTGTCTGTTAGTCATCATTTAAATATAGCAAGTTATGCAGTGATCCAAATGTAGGATTTACAGAATCAGACTTTAAAAGTTTATTTTCAATTGCAGAAGATATTTTTAATTATAAGTTTTTAATGAATTTTTAAACATATTATAGGAAATCCAAGAAGCAATGATATTTGAAAATACTTACACACAATATACTATGGAAGTAAGTTCTATAAATAATAATTGAAACTTTTAAAAAGCTATTTTAAGAATAGAATTCTGACTTCTTTCCTTCTAAATATTTTTAGACATTAAGAGTTGGCTGGGAACAATTACTCACCTCAATCCATCGTAATATTAATGAAGTAGAGAATCAGGTAAGTTTTTTCATGTAATTGTACATTACACTTTTTACATAATTTATTTTATAATAATGGATTTTGTTTTTTTCTCTAAGATCTTAACTAGAGATTCGAAAGGAATAACTCAAGATCAACTAAATGAATTCCGAATGTCATTTAATCATTTTGATAAGAATCGTACAGGAAGATTGGGTCCAGAAGAATTTAAATCTTGCCTAGTGAGTCTTGGTTACAATATTCGTAATGACCGACAGGTATGTAGATTATATTTATTTATTTTTTAATAAACTCTTAACAGAAAATTGCATTTATGATTATATTATTTTCAGGGAGAATCTGATTTTAGGAGGATCATGAGCATTGTAGATCCAAATAATACAAATTTTGTTCATTTTGATGCCTTCCTTGACTTTATGACTAGAGAGAGCACTGATTCTGACACTGCTGAACAAATAATTGATTCATTTAGAATCTTAGCTGGAGACAAGGTATGATGATTTTATTTTTTGAAGTAACAATACACACAAAAGTTAGCAAATTTAATTTTAATTGTTAAATTGGTTTTCTGTTTTAGTCTCAATATCCATTAGTTTTTATAATCTAATCTCATAAGTAAATCCATTTTTAAAGCAGATGAAGATTATTTAAGCATTTATGTCATTTATTATAAGCATTTATGTCATTAAATTTACATTTCAATAAGTTTAATAATTATTTCTCTTTATAAGTCGGTATTAAAAACACATAATGATTCTAAGTTATACACTTTACAGATTTTTCTGTTCTGTTTGAAACACACATTTTTTTATTTAAAGACAATTATTATCAGCTGCTAAATTTATACAGGAATCATTAATTTGAACTCTGTTAGTTCAAAATTCAGTTAGTTTGTAACTGTATTGCTTGACCCAGCCAGGGATATAGAAATTTACAAGTTAAGATATTCAGTTAATTTTAAGTATGACTAATTCAAAATTTAAAGTGAAAATTCTGTCCAAACTGTGATATGAGTATGTTAACTCTTTTGTTTAGATTAAGTGCCTCCATATCATAAGAGAACAATAGACCAAGAACAACTCTAATCTGGTTAATGTGCTTTGCTAAAACATTTTGGGCATCATCTTACCTATGGACAATTTTTTTTTCTCTTATCTCATAAAATACAACTGGGTTTTGGGATTGCAAGATTGAGCTAAAAATAGCACATTGATATATTTGTAGGGCTCTAGGCTACTACATTTAGATGACTTACTACTTTTTGGGCCACTTTAAAAATAATTTTCACTGCATTTTGAGGAATTCTATTTTACATTTTATGAAGCCTGTCTGCCAACCTGTGAGGTTCTTATCAGACATGTGCTGTTTATCTACAGTTTATTTACATTTTTTTTTATTAATTAACAAAAATAGCATTCTGTGTACGTAGATGTCTTTCATTTGTTTAATAAATTATTTCAGTAATGTGGCATTTGGCATAGTGTACAGGAATATGTTAATCTTGGATAATTTGAAACTTGATAATTCAAAATCGCAATTATTTTGTCTTTTGAATTTCAAACTAACAAGGATTACCCATATATAAGCTCACTCACTCACACTTGCTTTCATGTTTACACTCTCTCTCTTTAAATGTTTCTTTATAAATTTAGATGAAATTGTCTGTTAAAATTAAAATGTTACCATTGGATTAATAAGAATTGTGTTTCATTTTTAAATTTTTGTGCTAGTTAGCTGTAATGATAACAGATTATAAATAACGTTTTGTCATACAGTTTTAATCCAGTTATAATTAAAATGTATTCAGATTCTCAAAAATCAGAATTTTTATCTGTACAAGTAAATATAATAATCTTTATTTTATCCAATCATTACAGGTATTGCTTTGATATAATTTGATTACCAGCTCCTATAAAAAAGTATTAAAACAAAACAAAAACAATACATTGTAAAAAATGTTTACAATATAATTTATAAAGTTTGTTAATATTTACAAAACTAGATGTAATGCATTCTCAAATCCCTCCATTGAAAGTATAGCTCAATAAAAAAAATTCTTTGAGAAAAACTTATGAAAAGAGGAACTGTATAAAAATTCTGTCATATCAAAAAATCTAGTAATGTACCTGAATATTTATGGATTATATCAAAAAAAAAAAATTAAGTATAATCTTAGCCTGATGCAATACAAAAATTTTTGAATTGAACTAATAAATGTATATTCAGTAAACCATTTCTAAATAATGCAAAAATGTATATGAAATAATGAACTTCATAAATTCAAATTAAAGTTCTTGATCTTGTATAATTTTCTTATGACACTTTTTTATTTTTAACCATGATCTAAAAGCACTAAGAGTGCTATTTTTGCAAGCCCATTATTGGATTCAGCCTGACCCATTATAGGGTAATCAAATAGTGAGAATAGGACCTGACTAAAATTTTAAGGCTCCCAACTGATTTTAATCTAGGATCTTCAGAGTGGCAGGCTGATGCATTAGCTCTCCTATGACTGATATATATCTAATATGCATAGATATACAGGGTAATCTGTTTTAGTCAATCCAATGAAATAACTCAAAATACACATACTGCAAAAAAATCGTTAAACAGAAAATGTTAGCCCATCTTTTGCCTACTTGAAGTCTATTAGTTTCATCATTGATGGTGCTATAATTGGTGAAAATGAGATTATCTTTCTTTTCTGAAATGGAAACTCTATTTTTTTTTATTGCATATTATAATTCTGCATCACAAACAAACTTGTATTTAATATATGGAATAATTTTTTTTCTTCAAATAATGAACTAATACAAAACTTTTTGCCACAGTTCAAGGTAATCTTAAATTTATTCAATACATTTTTCACTATAAGCTTTTAGTGGAATGTTTAATTAACATGAATGTCTGTCAGTGTTCTCCTATGGAAAATGATGTTCAGAGACCTTTTTCATTTTGCTGAATATATTAGTCAATTCTCTATTGGAAATGTCTCGCAGGTTTTAATAAAACTTTTCATTTGCACAAGCTATTTAAATCTTCCCAATCATATCTTCTTTAGGTGTTGGTTCTTGTTGATAGGCATTTTTTAAATATTCCCAAAAATAAGTCATGTGAAGTCAAGTCTGACAATTGCATCGGCCATTGTACTGGTCCATGTTGTTCAACTTACCTTTCATTAAAGTTTCAATTTAAATTATTTACAACAATTCATGAATGGTAGGGTCTTGCTCCATTGAACTGAATTTTTTTCAGTGCTTTTTTTTCTTTCAAGAGATTAAAATAAACCACTCTGATGATACTTTTAATGTTTTTTGTATTCAGTTGATTTTAATAACTTTTTCAAACAAATTACATTTGCATTCTGAATTTATTTATAGTTGAACTCCATTAATGGCCATTGTTCAGAATCTGAAAATATTTTAAAGCTGCAATAATTTTGATATTCAAAAACTATGCATTGTATTTGATTAAGATAAAACTAGTGTTTCATCATCGTTTTTTTGTTAAATTTATGATATAGATTAAGTAAATATATTTTGCTTAGAACAGTTAATTCAAAAGATAAGATTAAAATATTTGCAATTTTTCATGTTTATAGCGAAATTTAAATTACAAATATTTATTATTTTGGCCATACTAAAAGTAGTTATTGCTAAAACAAAAATTTAGTAAGAAAAATGAACATAAAATAAATTTGTTTCAATTACACACTATTTTGAAAATCATTGTTTAAAATATTTTTAATGATTTGAGGAAAATTCCAAGATAGTATTGAAAAATGAAATTAAGAATTTTACTATTGTTTCTATTCATTTTTGTAATTATAATAATTATAAAAATAGAATAGAAATACCAGTATTAGAAGAGTAGAAGTCTTCTCTCTTCTACTGTTATTTCTATTCTAATTTTGTTTCTATTTATTTCTATGTGATATTTTTATTTGTGTTTTAGTTATTCTATTCGTCACAGAAATTTCTGTAAAGATAAAGATCTATTGTTAGAAATTAGTTTCAAACATTTTCGTAATTAATTTCTTACTGCTTTCTCTATTATGTGTTCAGACTGTTAAGACCATTATTAAATTATTTTATCTATTTTTTCCCCCCACTTGATGTGTGAAATATCAAATGTTTCTTCTGAAACATAATTCTTAAAATTTGAAGTATTTCTAAAGAAATAAATATTCAATTGTGAATGAAACAAAATTCAACTATTCACTGCAATATTCGATATATTTAATATCTACTTTTCTGACATTGTTTTCACTTTTATATGGTAAAACTTAGATATTTCATATTGATTTTTCAAAAATATTAGATATAGTAGAATATTAAACACACACACACACACACACTAAAAAAATGCATTTATTTATTTATGACTGCTAAATAATGCTATATATCATGGGATTACTACTCTAACATAACAATTTATTTGCCCTCCAAAAACATAAATAACAAAAGACAAATGATAAAATACATATAAAATATTAAAAAGTAAAGAGTAAGATATAAAAATATACAGAATGTATAAAATTTATGAACTATATATAATTTATAAACATTTTTTAAAAATTATAAAATAAAAAGATATATACATTATAATTTACAATTTTCATTCCTTTATTAAGTATTTTTTAATCCTAAGTTTTAAAGTGAAATCAAAAAATAAAAATGAGTTAATGCCTAAAGTTTTTGTAACAGTTCAATAAACAACCGTCTAGACAAGAAAATGACAAAAAAGATAAATTTGAGTTGGTTTAAGAAAGACAAATTGTGGGTGTCTCCTAAAGTATTAAGTGGAGAAAGTAACCCATTGAAATACCAATAAAATAAGAGCTGCTCAAAATAATTAATACATGTAAAGACTTTTCAGAATCTAAATAATAATCATGCCACTTCATATGAATCAGTATAAGGTTAAGCAAAAGTTGTTATTAAGTATTAAGGTTGCTAAGTAAAAGTTATAGTGTGTTTAAAATCTTGTTAAAAAGTGAGAAAATGGAACAATAAACTAATTTAGTTTTTAGTTGGAAAAGTTTAAAAGTAATTTTTTTCCCCTATTCAATTTAAAATGAAAACTATTTTGAGTTCACTTTAAATTCTGCCTACATTTTACAATTTTTAGTGTTTGGCATATATAAAACCTAAATGCAGATAAATCAATATTTATTATTTATTAATATTTTTCATAAATCGTTTTCTAGTCTATATTTTCATCCTGTAATGAATAACAATAATAGATTAGGATAAGTTAATAGAAAATATATAAACGAGTTATAACAAGATCTATGTAAATTTTTACACCTGCATTACATACTAAACTTAAATAACAATACTGCATAATATTGATATTTATGAAAGCAACAAATAAAATGATAGTTAAAAAAACTCGATTTTTATACGTTTTCATATTTCTGGATCAAGAAAAAATTTCACAGAACTCTTAGTATATAACATCATGTTAATGATTCTCAGGGAAGAAAGATTTTGTTAGCAGTTATTCATATTACACTATTATTTTTATACTTAACACTTTCTCTGCTTTCTGCTTGCACATCTGATTGATACGATTTTCGTTGTTTACCTTCTGTTACCTTCATTACAGTATGCTGATGATATGATTTTGCATTATTTGGTTGCTGGAAGTTTTTGGTAAATTGCACATGCTTTATTTTTCAGTTGTTGTTATTACCTAAAAGTGTAAGAAACATTTCAGAGATTACATTTTGTTTCTTACTTTTTTATGACATATTTAATTATAATCGTTTTTCATTATATGTGTGACTCAGTTTCACATCACACAATTATATAAAGACCGCTTGAAATGAAGAAAATTTTTATGCTTAATTTGTGTTTAACAGTGACATACTTTATGAAAAAAATATATTATATTCGGTGCAACTTTTTTCAATGAAAAGCAAGCATTAAAGAACAAATAAACCATATATATTAATACATGAAAATGTCATTCTGATGAATATTTTCCCTTAGTCTTTGTTTCTAAAATGCTTTATTCTAGGATTAGTACAGTTGGGAAATTAAATTTTTTTTCCAAATAATAATAAAATATAAACTGCTTTAAAAGATTATTATTAAATGATATGATAATGATAGTAAATATATATTATTTTGACTTCACAAGCATATCAACATTTGTAATTTTCAGAAATAGTATTTAACATTAATTTTGCTGTGTTTCTTTCCTCAGCCATTTATCACTGCCGAAGAACTGAGACGAGAACTGCCACCCGATCAAGCCGAATACTGCATCCAAAGAATGACACCTTATAAGGGAATGGGTGCAATTCCGGGAGCTTTAGATTATATGTCGTTCTCCACTGCTCTGTATGGTGAAAGTGATTTGTAACATGTAATATGTTTAAGAAACAAAAAGTGCCTTTTGTCTGGCATTCAGTTTGTCTTCCATGTGATGTCGAAGTTGTGGTGACTAGTCTACATCAAAGTGCAAACGATCGTCTAAACCAAAGTGTCATTGTGTTGGTTTAGAGATTTGCTGTTTGTCGACCTAATCGATATGCTTCTATTTATCTATGTAACATTTTTTCTTCACATTGTTATGCTCGTGAGTACCATATTGCACATCAAGATGTTAGAAGTATTCTAAAATTTACTGTAATATATTTTAGTTTGTTAGAAAATTAGAATGTCACAAATAAGGAAAAGCACATTTCCTTTGTTCAACACACTATATTTTTGGCTTTTTTTTTTTTTCCTTATTTTACACAAAGTTTAGTTTTTTTCCAAACAATTATTTATGAGTGGCCATCGTGATGCAAAATTACTACAACGGAAAGTTAGTTTCCGTCTCAGATTGTGTAAGTCACAGAATAAAAAAAAAATCTTGTCGTAAAATACAAAAAAAAAAAATTCCATTTTAATTTTTAAATTGCATTGCATATAATGTGAATTGTTATTGTCCGGATTTAGTGAAATGTTGTACGGGAAATAACACCCCACACAAAACATTTGAAATTTTAAGTATTTATAATTCTTAGCAACGAATTTAGGATTTTGATATTCATTTGGATTTGTGAATAAAAAAAAAAGAAAACATTTTATACAAAATTTGGAAGTCGTTTTATGGGCTAGAGCCCTAGTCAAAATGAATATTGATTACTGTAAAATTTTGTAATTTTATGGTAAATTAATATTTAAAAGAAATTTTTTGAATTGTCTTTTGTGTCAGAAATGCAATTCATGATGTTAGTAGCTTAAATCATGCTCAGGTTAAACAATAAAAGAAGTTTGTTCCTTCCTGAAATTCTTTATTAGTCCTTAAAACAACACATCATCATTATTTTTTTAAAAAATAACAGAAACATTTAATTCCAGGAGATGCCATCAACCAATAGAAAAAAAATATATGAGAAGTAATTGGATTTTTTCCTTCTCAAATTTTGTTTGGAATTAACAAATGGATCTTATTTAAGGTTAGAATTTAGAAATAAACTAAAATTAGTTTGTTCCAGAAGAAAGGAATTAAAATCTTCCTGGTAAAAAATTGGATATAAAAAATATTTTTTTTTATACCCAAAAGTTTTGAGAAGTTGGAAAAAATCTTAATTTGACAAAATAACAAATTTCGTCTCGTGAATAATCGGAAGTAAAAATTTTATTTAAATAATTTTATTAGATTTGCAGCTCAGTTCTAGAAAATAACGCGATAGTTCGATGTATTAATTTAGCAGTATATTTTAATTATAATCTGCGATACCAGATGGTGCGCAGTTCGATTTCCCGACATTAACAAAAATATTCGGAATTTTTTTTTAAATTGTAAATTTTAAACTTCTAAAACGTTTAAACTTGTTTTAAAATACATGCGTTTCAAGTAAATTCAATAAACTACGTAGTTCGGTTTAAAAAATTTAACTATATATCAACAATGACGTCATCGCTAAATAAATCAAAAATAGAATTTTAAGTCTTCGCATCATTATTGTTATGATTTTACTTTAGATTTATTTTTAAAATGCGAATTCACACAATAATGGTTTTTTTTTACGCTTTATATTCTGTTATCCGAAAGGCTGGCCGTGAAATAATTTTCCATCTAGCCGAATGATGGCGCCTCTCGATTGCTGGGTGGGAGAATATATATATCGATTAAACGGTTTGTGCAGAAATTGACCGATTTTTCATTTCTGGTGACACTCGTAGAGTTTTTCTTCCGATATCGCCCAAGATAATGTGATTTGCAAATACTGAGTTTTCATCCTGTTTAACCTTCGTCCCGTTAATCGCAGGTGAGATAGATTGGCGCGTGCAAGGGGAGACCGAGCGTGCAGCGGGGAATTGCCTGGGACCTGGAGGATTGGAGAGGTAAACGCACTGCAGTTGCACGGCTGGTTGAAAGAAAACTAGGTTGTATCCGTGTAGGAGTGCAGCGTAGGCGATTTTGTCTCGCATTTCTCCATTTGCCAGCGAATCGGTAAGTATCTTGAATCTTGGACGCGATTAATGCCACCGATTCTTCTTCACACCCTATTGCTCTACATTTAAATCATCATCGGGGATTTTTAAAATAAATTTTAGGGAAACTTCCGAGATCCTTTTCGTTGTCTTTTAAGCAATTGGAAAAGATACGGTAGGCGTTGCCTGCTTTTGTACTTCATCTCATGGCACGAAAGCTAAGGAAACGCTTTACAGGGGTAGAACACTTAGATTAAAATCGAAAAGTGCTTTTAACAATGGCACGCTACGTGGTATTAAACCGGCTAAACACTTAGGACATCCGAACTCCCGATTTTGTTTTTTTTTTTTCTTTTTTTAGTTTACGATGTATTTAAAGTTAATTAGCAAAAGTGGAGAAAAAAAAGGAAAACCTTACGAAATTTTCTGCTTCGAAAAAAAATTTAATCCTCTAAAAAGTCGCGTTTTCTCTTTTCGTCCGATAACAATATTAAATCGCTGCTTTATTATTAATGTAGTCGGGAGTAAAAATGGCAGAATGGTTTTTGTACGTGAGCGGGGGAAGTTTGAAAAATATAAATAAAAATAACGTGTACTAATACTTGTATTATTTTTCTGTTTTATATAGGAAAACAGTAATATTTTGTGTATAATACATTCGGCCATGTTGCGTTTTTGTGTCGTGGCTACTGAAAATTTAAACATTGCTGTAACAGAAAGCTTTTCCGTGTCGCCGCCTTTCTTTTTTTTCCCCTCCCTCTCCAGACACGATATAGTTTAAATGCAATCACCGATAGCAGCTCCCCTAGCGACAAGCCATTGGAACTAAGTTCTACCGCCCAATTACCTCGTCTTGTTTTATGTATTAAAGTCGCTAATGTAATACGATCGAAGTTAAAATCCAACAGAGCGGACACTTGGCTACACTTTTTTTTACCCTCCCTTCTTTCCTGTTATTTTAATTGATTTACATCTTACAAATTAAAGATGTTTACTTCCAGTCGAAAAGGGCAAAATCCGATAAAATATCGATCACGTGAACGTACTGAGAGTGAACCCAAAACGGCACAGTTTACAGTTCATGTAACTCCGGGACATTAGCATTATTGTCGGGCGTATGCCAAGTAAACCCGAGCCAAATTATTAAAAATAAAAAATAATTTTTAAAAAAATACATATAAATCATTCATTTTTCAACTTTATTCAATTAATTTTTTTATAGTAAAATAAATGTTCACGCATTAAACCCGAAACTTTACGGCCATGTAAAGTCTCTAAACTTGTAATAATAATAATAATAATAATAATAAATAGATTTATAAATCCTTCTAGCTGTATGAATGAAAACAAAATGTAGAAATTCATACGGGAAAAACTAACATTACTTATTAAGTACAGTAATTCACAGGTAATTTATTAACATGGCGTGTGTAAACTTTGTTTACAGAAAGTAAAGAAAATTTCTCACAGGATCATTAAGTAAACTTATTCTATAAGTAAGAAATTATGTTTACAACACCGTGTAACACATGCTCTTCATAAGAGAAGAATTTAACTTTATACAAGGATCGGGTACCTAAAATTTTATAGATGTATTGAATTACACAGAGAACGTATAATATACCGGCTTTATTGATACATAACATTTATAGAGTAGATGTTTGGTAGTTTACAGATTGCAATAATATTATTTTAGCATCCAGAACTTAGATAAGTTCTAGTTTGGGAGTAGAATTCACAATAAGTTTAATTGTTTTACTTGCTAAAAAAAAGCTGGTAAAACAATTACATGTACAGAAACAAGTCTGTAGAAGATAAAATGTTATTGCTACACAGAAGCTAAATATTTATAAATTTAAATACTTAGATAATCGTTTAGGAAACTTTCATATTTTTTTTTCCCCATCTACATACATATATTTTCTTACTTCGCCAACATTTTCCGTTGTTGAATAGAGTTGAGGCGCAATTTTTCTTTTTAAGTATCGACCCAATCCTCCATTTGAGTCATCGTCTAGAAAGTAATAGCTAAGAAGTATTTATCTTCTCTCTTCAATGATTCCCTAGATTCTCCTTGACCTAATTTACAATCAGAAAATTCGCTTCTCTATAATCTGTTCAATACAAAAATCTTTCAAATCGAGAAGAAAAAGTAATTAATCGAAAAAATTTTTCAATTAGTACGTCAAAATGGCCAACGAGAAAAATCGTTATTTTTCAAAGTTTTTACTATTTCTATTGGTCACGAATCGGATATTTCGTGTTACGGGCGTAACGAGCAAAATCCTTTCAATTAACTGTAGAGAAATGCAATTTTTCTCTTCCTTTTTTTCTTTCTGTAAAGAGCGGGATTGGAATATCTCGGCTGTAAAATATTTTAAAGAATTCGCTTCCTGCCAATTATTTAAATGCTAGACGAACTAGATGCCAAGTATGATCCATAAGAGAACTTTATGAGAGTCTATTCACTAGCGTTAGATTATGTCTTTCGATATTCGCCATTTTCGTAACCGAAACATAGCTACGAAACTGGCCCATATTGACTTTTTATGAATAGCTCATAAAAAAGAATATATATATATATATAAGCGCTGCTTTCGTTCACCAGTTCGTAAAGTCGGTATCAATCTTTCTTATCTTTCTGGAACATTCTTTTGTCATTTCTGGACCGAACCATTTAAACATTATATAGCCGATCTTGTCCGGAAGTGAGTACCTCAACAGGAGCATTTAGTAGGCGACATTAAAGCACTTTTATGATCGCCGAAACGTATTTTTAAATAATTAAATAATGTATAAGCCATTAAGTTAATGTTTTAAGTAGCTTTTATCTTCTATTTTCCAGTTATTAATTTAACTTTAATTGCTTCATTGATTATAATATTAGTAACTGGTTTAACTACTGTTTCTTTTATTCTTTTATTTCTTTCTGTCCGATCCAGATTGGCGACATGATCGAGCATCAACCAAGTTGACGCGGTCGATGTATCATGGAAAATCACCCAACTACTAGATACGCTCAGGATTGCCCACTGTTTCTGTCGATATCCAAGTGACCATTTTTCTTCTCGACGCGAGCGAAGATGATGAACCACTGTCTCATCTATCTTCTGCTCCTGCATTTTTGTACAACAGAGTCCTTTGTTCTCGAAGGATCTCCAACTTCTTACGCACAATTTCAAAAATGGTGCGCTAATTTAAACAGTTCACTCAGTTTAGAATTCCAGACCGAAGAACCTAATGGTTTGTTACTTTACACGGACGACGGCGGAATTTATGACTTTTATGAACTTAAATTAGTCGAGGGTGCTCTTCGTCTACGTTTTAATTTAGGCGGGGGTGCATCCATCCTGACTGTCGGTAGAAATCTGCACGATAGCCAATGGCACAAAGTCGAAATTGTAAGAAGCATCGAAGAAACGGTCCTCCATGTCGACAACGAAGCGGAACGTCTTCTGTCCAAAAATTCCGAACTGACTTTTGGCAACCAGACTACGAATAGTTATGTATATGTGGGTGGACTTCCTTCATGGTACAATTCAAAACTAAATTTACTAGCCCTACCTTCTGTTTTCTTCGAACCCCGTTTCAAAGGAGCCATCCGCAACGTTGTATATTGTAGTGACGATGGTACCACCAAAAGACAAGAAATGACCGAATATAAGGGTGTTAGGTCTAGTCAGTTCGACATTTGCGAACATAACGATCCTTGTCAAAATGGTGGGATTTGCATAAGTACAGACAGCGGAGCAATATGTAACTGTAAAGCTTTGGATTATGAGGGTGAACACTGCGAGAAAGGTAATTTATTATGTGTATATATATATATTAATAGTTTAAACTTTCTTTATAAAATATAAAACGGTTTTCTGGTAACTTAATTAACATTAATTCAAATGTTCGTCAAGGAAAGTATTTTTTTAACTTTGAAGGATTTAGGGGAAAGTATTTAAAGTAACAATCTTTAATCTTCAATAAAATAATCGCCAAATTGCATAAAAATCTTCAAAAAAGTCCTATAACTCGAAGGAGTATTCGAAGCGTATAAAATAAGAAAAAAATATATATATTGGCTATAAGCAAACAAGCCAATCCTTCATCTCGAACTGTAAATAGAACAGGATTGCTCAGAATAAAGTATTTATCGATGAGACATCCCCTTCACTGGAATATGTCCCATCGATAAACACTTTAGCCCAACGAATAGTCGGTTAGTAGTAAATTTTATTACTCAACATACAATCACCAATAAGATACGGTTCGATAATGGAAATTACAAGATAAAGAGATTATCTTAATCTTCCATGTTAGGAAAAAAAAAAAGATTAATAGCATTAATTTTATCATATATTACTATTTAATCCGGACGAATACTGTGTATTATAGGATTAAATAATACGGGATAAAAATATGCTCAAAATATTTTTATTATTTCTTTTAATCTTGGTGGTTTTTTTTCGAACAAAAAAAGAATAAAATAAAGAAGAAGAAAAGATTTTAACTCGTTGAAGTTGCTGATTTGCATCTTGTTATCAACATTTGTATAGAATCGATAATTCCTTCGTGTGTTATTTTATGCAAATATGATACTTATAAATCCGTTTTTATAATTAATGTTTCCGTTAAAATTATTAAATTTACATGAAATGGTTACTGTTTTATAAATTAAAATAAACATATTTTAAAGGAAAGAGAATTTACATTTAAAAAAAATTATATATATATTTGAAAATGTTAATATTTAAATGTCAAAGTTCGTGTAAAGTTTATGAAAGTTACGGAACCGTAAAACCAACTAAATTTTACTGTTTAACGCTGTTCGGTTATTAAAATTTTCTAGAAAATGTTGAAAACAACTTATGTAAGTATCGTAAAAATTCCTGGATAAGTTGATTGTTCGTTAGGGGGTCCAAGTTATTAAAAAAGTACGATAGGACTTCGGGCTATATATATATACTGTTTATAAGGCAATTCCTAATCTTCAATGAAATAATCAAAGAGTAAAAGGTCTTTATACCTCGCACTGGCACTATACGGATATAAATCCTATAAAAATCTTATGGGAACTATTGAAACGTCAAGACAGCAATAAATCATCACAAAATAAGAAGTGAAAAGAAAAGAAACCTGCCTCAGTTTGGCAGCATGATCAAGAAATCTAAAAGCTAGTGACATCTTGCATTAGCAGCTTGTCAAAGCTTATTGAAGTTCTAGGGGGATGCTGTTCAATAACACTGTCTTTGTAAACTCAACGTTAATTTATCCATTCTTATGCAGTCTATAACTTTTTTTTTTTTTTTACAGTTTCGTTAAATATTAAGCAGAAATAATAGAAAGAAAAGTTAAAAGACGAGTCGTCGACATTAAAAGTGCATCAAATTTTTTGGGAAACGTTTAAACAATGTCAACTAATGACTGCAAACATCGTCGATACCGTTTCGATTATACGTGTGCTCCATTATGATTTTCACTTATTAAAGTGTTAAAAATATATACAAAAAGTTACTACGAAATCGTGAGAACATTTCATAACCATTATTCAATTATTCGAGTATTTTTATATTATAAATGCTTAAAAATTTATTACAATGGCGCGTTATCCTATGGGGAAAAAAAAAAGGGAAATTGCCTGGGGACTCCACTAATTTTTATATAATAAAATATTTTTCCCTAAAATTTCCCCGAAGAAAAATGCCTGAAGTAAACATTGTACTGTACGTGGGGCACCCTAATTCAAATTTGCCCGGAGCCATAACGCGCCACTGCTTAGTTATACTTTTATGTGTTGGGCATAATTTGCTTAATGCAATATTACAAACATAAAAAAAATATTTAAGAGATTCTACAATAATTTTAAATAGTATAATTTATAATATTTACTGAAAGTCAAGATGAGTATTATTGCTTAAAGAAATCATCTATGGATCAATTCGTTTGGTTAGGATAGTGTCATTTTTTACGTCAATTTGACGTCATCCGTTCTGTTTTACAATGAGAAATTTTGAAAAATGACGTCAAATTTACGTTAAAATGTGCATTATCACAAACCAATCGACACAGGCATTATATTTTTGAATATCTTACGTCGAAGGGTTTAAATAATTTTTCCCGATTTTAAATACAACTTTAAAACCTGGACATTAAACGGTAAGTATAAGTTATTTATAGCTTAATTATAATAAATAAGATGAAATTTATCAAATATATCCGATTATATTTATTTTTTTTTTATGTTGTAAAGTTTGTTAAAATCTTTCCGAACCAAGCGCGTGGATTAAATCGGGGGGATGATTTTTTAAAATAATCTTTCGATTATCCGTGCAAATGATAATACCGATGAACGTTCTTACGTTAATTAATTTCGCGCCTGTTTAAAAATACCGATGATAATTCGTGATTAATTATTAAATAAACGATTAAAAATTGATACCGGTTCCGCTTTAATCGCTATTTGCAGGAATGTTATAAATAATGTCGGATAATTAATGGATTAAAGCTTCTGTTTTATTACGGTATTTTAAAATTAATACGTTTCAAAAATAAAACAAAAAATAAATTAATATTTACACTTTTACTTAAAATAATATTTTTAGAAAATTAAATAAAGAAAAAAAAATTAATATTGAGAATCGATGCGCTTCTCAACGGAAGAAAAATAAATTATTTGTTTGTTTTGATCTTAATTTATTTCATAGTTCATTTTTTTCCCATTTTATCGTAATATTAATACTGTATTTATTTTAAAATGTAAAAGTGAAATAAGTAATGCAAAGTTTATTGGAACAAAATAAAATTAGTTGAAAAAGTTAACAAATGAACACGCCAAATGGTGGCGCAATGAATGAAATAANGAAAAACATTTTATATATAATGGCAATACAATGGAGTTACTATGAAGTTTTTCCACATTTATTTTTATGTTTAAAAATGACAAAAAAATAGATAAAATTAATAGAGTGAGCTATAAAACTGTTATTTCAATTAAAGTATGCATTTTTTTTTTAATGTTGATTCATCGTAGCTTTTTCTAGTTTTATTTCCTTAAGGCTCAATATATTTTCTTTTTTAAACTAACCATAAGTAATGTTTCCTTTCAGTGAAATCATATTTTGTGATAATAACAGTGTTTTGTCGTTTTCTACCCTAATCACAATAAGATGTGTTGTGATTTTTTCTTTTTTATTCATAACATTTTGGAAACTGGCAAAAAAATAATATAAGTTACGAGTCTAAGATGGAAAACATTAATTTAGAATGTTAGAAAATAAAATAACCAATTGGATATACATTTCTTTGATACTAGATAAAATAAATCATTCTTACTTTTAATGAAGTGTCAACCTTAATATAGTATTTTATCACAGTTATAATAAAAATTATTTTACATGCATTTTAATTAATAATGACTTAATTTTGATTAAATACACGTGCATCAATTTAATTTATTATAAAGGTGTTAATTATGGCCGAATTATAATTATCAAGCACAACCAACAATATAGAATATAAAGCCTTCCTAATTACAAATATAATCTAAGACGATTATCTATTATGATAATGTAAATTACTATGGCATATGTAAAAGATGATACATTAAATATTATGCAAAATATGATGATTATGTAGCGTGTGCTTTTCGTATAGGCCTACATTATAATGAGCATCGAATTCTACACATAGTACGAAAAGGAATATGCTAAATAAGTCGATCAAATTAGTAGTTAATCCTACACGAACAAGTGTCTTTGCATGTTAACAAATAAAGGTTAAAATTGTAAAATGAACTTGACATTATTGAAATATTTATGCAAGAAATATACGAAAATTTGCCTTCGATAAAAATTTAGTAATGTAACGTGACACAGTCGTGTCTGTTCCGTCTGTAAAAAAATTTGTTTCAAAAATAATGAGATTAGAAATACATTATCAAAATATCTATTGGATTATTATTAAAATAATATTTACGATACATTTGAGTGAAGAAGTAAAAGAATTTTATAAATGTTCTGTTATTTCTTTAAGTCTTAGTGTTTTATAGTTGATAATAAAGAAGTTTAATGCGTAATTAAATATGAAAAGAATCGCTAAGACACTCGCAACAAATTCAACGGGTCATTGAATACGCTAATAGAAAGCTTATAAAAATGACAAGATATTTTATGGTCTAAGGTCACCTTTCAGGATCATTATGGGCAGTGCCAGTAGCAACCTTGCACTTCTATAAAATCGATGTCCAACTGGAAACTAATATGATAGAACTAGAATACAGATACAGATGTAACAACATATTTTATTCTGCTTTTATAGTTATTTTAAAGACAAAAGCTCGAGAATTAATCTTTAAATTCTGTGAATACGCTTACGGGAAAATTATTAATCTTGTTATTGTCAATAATTCTATTATTTTGTATCCAAATAATATAAATTATAGAAATCAACGTACTAAAAATATTGTAGATGTAACCTTTCAGCTTTGTCGATATTTTTAAAACGTAATTCACAAAATAATTTTTTCCCCTCTATTTTCTTCGATCGATAATGCGTGTCTATAGAGTGAAGTCATTAAATGTCTTCTCCGGTCAGTAAACCTGGCTTTCGACCAAAAAAAAGAAAAAACTTTCTATAATGTTAATGTTTCTTTATATATTTATATATATATATATATATAGCTTACTTTTTCTTTCTGTTCTTTAATAGAAAAGGCACCGTCAGAAGTAACTTTTAAAGGAACAGAAATCTTGCAATATGATCTAAGAGGAAGCGGGGGCGAGCCTATAGTGAGTACCAGTGAAGTGATATCGCTTTACTTCAAGACCAAACAAGCGAGCGGTCTCCTATTCTATACAGGCAATGGAGACGATTTTCTCAATCTTTCCCTTCGTGGAGGTGGTCTTGTTGTTACTATTCGTTTAGGTTCTGGTACTATAGAAAGAATCGTTCGACCGGGAAAAATTCGCTTCGACGACAATCAATGGCATCAGGTAGTCATTAATCGGCACGTCAGAGAGGTTGGTTGGAGTTTTTAGCTTAGGGCGCGTTTGGAAATTGTAACCGGTGTTACCGGTAACACCGGTTACAATTTCCAAACGCGCCCTTATTGTGCATTATGATACTTAAAGCGAGAAGCGATATCGCTTTTGCGCCATTGATTATCATTTGTTCATTTGGGAAGCTGAAATGAAAATTAGGGGAAAAAGGCCCCCGATTAATTATGTAAGAACACTTCCGGTATAGACCAGAAGTCACACGATTTTAATTAAAAAATGTTTTCCCCCAAAACGGAGTTACATAAATGACCGGCATGACTGTATTGCTAAACAGCAAAAGTATGATGTACAGGAGTAAGACACTAATAATTTGAGATCTAGATCATATATTTTAAATTAAATAAGTTAAAAATATGATTAAAATGAAAATAAATAAGTGCTCGTTCCTATTAATTAACATTAACGATGATTTAAAATAATACATAGATTCAGTTTCATATTTAAAATTTCAATTTTTCTTTAAATATTTTACACACATTCTGTCTTGATCAAATAATGTGCGTTTTTCAATATATATGTAATTAATTCTTATTAATTGATCTTATTATTAATTCTTATGATTAATTCCTCGAAAATTTAATCGCATAGAAATTATAAATACACTAATAATAAAATTCTGGTAACAGGATTTTTGTTTTTATACAGTTCTCGAGTGCTTCTAAGAGACGATCGGCTAAGTAAGCAAACCAATAGCATAGTTCGTTTCATATTAAACGGACTGTGCCATTGGTTTGCTTACTTAGCTACTTGTTAGAAGAATGACTTTTGTCTACATAATAATAAACTCTTATGATTAATCAATCAATTATTCTACTATTAATCAAATGGAATTCAGTGCATTAATAATCTTACTTTATTTTCTTATATTTTTATGTTTACACTTTATTGATTGATTTAAAAATTAATAAGTAAAAAATTATATTTATAACTGTATTAAATTACTTGCTTGTCGCATTTTAAAGCGATTTTTTTAATTGTAATTTGGCACATAAATAAAAATCCATTATAAAAAAATATATTCATGTGCCAAAAAAAAATCTTTTAAATGTTACATAGTTAAAAATTTCTTGTTTACATCGTCTTAGCTTGTTAGAAGGAAAGAACTTTTATAATTTTTTTAACTTTCGAGTCATAAATTAAACGAGTGATTGCATTCTATTCTAAAAAGACGTTATTAAGAAAATAAATGAACAAAATTAATAAATTCTTGCTAAAAACTTAGCAAAAAAATGTAAAGAAACACGACACCTTTGCAAGTTTTGAGTCATGTAACTTGTGCTCTATAATCCGCGATTCAATGGGTCTTACTAAGGATAATGACGTGAAGGGATCGAATCCCGTCTAGGATTTTTTCCCCTCTATTTTGTATTGAATACGATGTCCTAGATTTGAAAATTAATGTTGCAAAATCTATTAAGGCTACAAAACAGCGGATTTCTGTTTTATGGTTACTATCTTCCAGAAAAAAATTTCTAGAGCGAAAGACATTAATGTTAAAAAATGGTCATCTGGAGATGAATGAATAAAATTAGATCATTCAAAAAAAACCAAATAAAAATAAATAATATTTTATATTTATATAATTTCTATTAATTTTTTTTTCTTGTTACTCGAATTTTAAGTTTAATGAATATTTATTCTTGCTGTTGTAAACGAAAATGAATGCATATTATTTAAGCTTTTCTCAAATTAATAGGAAATAATAATAATGAACTGGCTAGAAAACTAAAATTAAAAATTTTTGAAAGTAATTATTTGAATATAAAAATATCCATATTATTGCTGCTTTTATTTGCCATGTGAGAATACTTTAACCACTTTGGTTTAATTATCGTTGATTTAAATTTAATCTGACTAAATTTTAATGTAATACTCTTTATATAATATTTACTATGGAGAACATTAAAAAAAGTAATAATAATAGCTAATTTTACTGCATTTTGGTAGATCTTTTAATATTTAATAACTCCCAACGATCATTATTTAAAATTTTTTTTAAAAACAAAGTATTAATTATACAAGCGAAATTCGTTTTATATTAACTTTTGCATACTTTACATAATTGTTATTAAAACAAAATGGTTTTTTAAATTCATCTACAGAATTATAAATCGCAGCGATTTATCGCTTATCGCAATAGGTATCAAATTAAATTGTTTATCTTAATTAACAATTATTTCTTTTAAAATGATATTACAGATTACACCGTCTACCGGCTTTTGTCATGTGAGTATTTACTTAACTAAGATAATTGCAATTTAACAAAACTCTAATGATATCTTTTGATTACTAGTTATCTCTAACTGTGGATGGAATCTATTCTGAAAGAGGTTCGACTGCTGGTAGTTTTGCATTGCTTTCCAGCAGTCAAATTTATTTAGGAGGAATGGAACTCACTCCAAGTTTAAGAGGAAGAAATAACTTTGTTGGATGCTTGAGAAAGGTATCTGCATTTATGATCTTCGTAACGTTTTTTGATTTTTTATTTTTAAATTATTTGTACTGAAAATCTTGAATATTTATAGTACATTAAATTGAGGATTTGNATATATATATATATTTTTTTTATTACTATTATTAGTGTTTCGTGTTCTGGGATTTATTTAGTTATGTGAGTTTATTCTGATTAAATTACTTGTAGAAAACAAACATCTACATATCTAAATCCCAAATTCAGACAGTAGTTTTATTGCTGAGTGCCGTTAATATTAATTAATACTTAGATTTAACTAATAAATTAGTAATATGTAAATTTTATTTTTGATCCTAATGCACTTTTTACATTAATAATACCACTGCGGATATTCGATATTAAAATTATATTTGTAATGCAAAAAAAGTAGAAAATTTGAGGGGGGAAATATATATATTTATAAATATTTATCAGGCTTTTTTTAAAGTTAAAAAAATATTTATTTTTATTTAAAAAACGATTTAAATAAATCTCTAGGAGAAGTGTAAAACTTCAATAACAATAGCAACTCTTCCATCTTTCATATGTTAATTTATAATACTGTTAACTAGACACCTTTACGAATACATTCTGGAAACTAATACGCGAATTTCTGACTCAGCAATCTTATTTTTCGTTTTGAATAAAAGAACAATTGTAAACCGCCTCTTTCAGTTAAATCACTCGGTGAACTATATGATTTAAATGATAGTTTACCCACATTTGATTCCTTTTCTGTTTGCCAATACGAGTAATTCTACGTATTTTATAAACTTTTAGAAAATTATGTTGACTTATAGCTCAAGTGATTAAAGAATCATTATTTTTCAACCTATTATTATATTAAATCAAACTTTTAAAAATTTAAAACTTGTTATTTTGCATTTATTTAGCTTTAATTGCGAAATAAAATTTAATTACTCTTTCTACAATTAGTTTATATTATATTACTTCTGTATTTAACTCATTATACTTTACATTAATTTATTTTACAGTGTTATCTGTATTTTGTTTATTTCCTACATTTAATGTATTACCCATTAACTTCTAAATTTAATTTATATAAGCTTTTTGAAATATTTTACTCTACTCAGAGTGTTTGAAATTTCTAGTTTGAAATTTATTTTAACATTTTAAGATGGTTTTAACAATTAATTCTTTTTTTTTAATTTTATAATAATTTATTTTTATTGTATTATTCTAATTTATAATTATAATAATTTACTTGCTTCTGTAATAAACAGAATATATTTTTATTTGAAATAGGTTTGTTTTCCATTGTTTATTGTCTATGTGAGTGATTGGGCTGCAATTTGAAAATTACAGACCTATACATTCCTACTGTCGTTCGTTAAACTCGAAAACGGAATTAGATAGATTTAAATCGCGACCAGATATGGAAAGCTTAGGGGCACGATTAACTACATACGAACTTCCGGTCTAGACCGGAAGTCACGTGGTTTAATTCAACATTTTTCTCGGGAACGGAGTCAGATAGATGACCGGCATAACTCTATTGTTATCAGGAGAAGTATGATGTACAGGGGCAAGACATTACTAAACTCGAGATCAGATATGGGAAGCTTAGGGCCGGAGAACTCGATTAACTGTATACAAACTTCCGGTATGGACAGGAAGTCGCGTGATTTTTTTAAATTAAAAGATGATTAAAAATTGCACCCCGGCATTGTGACGATGTCACAATAAATAATTGCTCGTTTCTGATAAGCTTTTTCAATTTTCTTAATTAAATTCCATTATAAATGATTCTAAAAGGCCCTGTTAGAATTTTAAAAAAGTTCTCTCATTAGGTATAGTATATATTTGTGAATTACTAAAGTTAAAGTAAGAATATTATTTATTTACTTTGCGTTTTTTGAGTCCAATTAAAGATTTAATACAATTTATTTTATTTTATGCTTTCATTATAATCCGANTTCAGCATAAAATTGTAAAAATAATAATATTGACGCTCAAATTTATTATCGTTTAATATAATAAAAATGAAAATCTAGTTGAAATGTTGCTTATAAAAATTTATATTTATTAATTTTTTTTGATAATTTTAATTTAATCAGTTTTGTGTTTACACGTATATAATTATTTATACAATAAACTTTAAAATATTTTGTTCAGTTATCCAAAAAAAATTGTTATTTTTAGATTTTACAATAGTATAAGACCATTCGATTTTTACAGTTATTTAAGGAAAGAAAAAAAAGATTTTCTATGAAATTTTTCTTTTAGAAAAACTTTTTTCTATATACTTTCAGACCTCAGGCTATATTTGAGCGTATAAATATAAACGTTGATACAAGAGAAAAATAGAAATGTATTTGATTCGTGATAGAAAATCGTGGGAAAGTTTACATTTTGATTTGTGATAAGCTTCAAATGAACAGTTTTTCTTTTTCTTTTTATTGAACTAAATCTCTTTCGTTAAATAATAACAGATAAATTTAGTTTATAGGAATGAATTAAAATTTATGTCTCTATTTGAATGAATACAATCGCTGAATGACCTGAATGTTCATTTGCGCATTGTCTATACGATTAAATTGATTGCTAGGAAATGTTTTTTTTTTTTATGATGACTTTAAAAATTTCCTGAACGTTTATGTTTTTGAGATTTTTTTAAAAAATCTCTTCTCACTTCTTAAAATTAATACATGATAGAAAAACATTATCGATTTCTTCATCTTATTACAGGATACAAATGTTCTTTGTGAAGAAAATGCGATAATTTCAGTTTAAAAAATGAAATATTGAGAAAGTTTAAATTATCCTCGATGTTAAGAAGATAATATATGAAAATTTGATAAAATAGACTTAAACGAAAATAAATTTGCCAACGTGTAATTCACAAAATAATTTTTTCCCCTCTATTTTCTTCGATCGATAATGCGTGTCTTGCATGCGAAAAAAAGTCCTATCCGATATCAATATTACTCCAAACGATTTCAAACAGAATAATTCAGTAAATTATCACATAATATCTATAAATCTTTTTGCTGATTTTTCATAACTGCTCTGGACGTTTGGGAAAAGAAGTTTCCATTACAGTATGAGTTCTTAATGGAGAATGAGCTTAGCAATTTCACAAAGCAGAAATGATGGAATTTTGCCATAATGTTGAAAATAACAAAAGGTTCATTTTCTTCATCCTCTTATAGATGAGATTGAAGCTAATTATGACACGAAACGTTCTATTTAATATAATTCAGTTATAAGAATTATTGGAAAGTGTGTCATTTATTTAAATTGTACATTTTTTTAAAAAATAAAACCTAAATAAACAAAATTAAATTTAGAGAAATTCTCATTTATTCTATTTGGATGAAAATTATACTAATTAAAACATTCTAGTGGGTTCATTTTTTATTTTANTGTAATATTTTATTTAAACCTGAATAAATTTTAAAATAGCATAAATCTGTTTATTTTAAAATAAAATATTCAAAAGTTAAATAAAAAAACAACCAATCAATATTTCTTTATTTAGCAAGTATAACTTCTCTATTTTTAAAAGAAACTGTATTTGTCATTTTATTCGTCATAACTATTTTATTTATCCGAATTATACGTTGAAATAGTTTTAATAATTCTTCAACAATCAAATAAATAAAATATTTAGCTATAAAAAAAACTTTCTGCATTTTAATTTATAGACAAATAGTAAATATTTAATAAACAGTTAGATCTTGTGAATTTTTAATGAATATCTTTACTAAATTATAAGATGACGATTTCAAAATTCAATCAGGATGAATAATTAATAATACCGCATTGATTCAGAGAAATTAATAATAAATTATTAGAGAAACATTTAAACAGAATTATTAAATCAGATTTAACGACAACCCAAGAAAAAGAATTTTAATATATAACCTTTAAAAAGATTTTCTAATTATTATCATATGTATATATAGATATATTATTGATAAATATATTCTTATATATAAAATGGATGAAACATATGTCCTGAGGGTAGTATGAAAGGAAAAGCATGTTCTGCGAATTGTATAAGGAAAAAATATAAATCATATATACATTTTCTTTCATACATTTTACAAAACTTTATTCCAATCGAAAATTTAATCTCAGCTGGATAAGAAATTGTTTTATTGGATGCATTTTTATTTTGGAAGTTCATTGACATATAAACTAATTACGTACGTTAAAAGTTTCTTAATTTAACAAACGATTAGTAATTACGATTTTTTAAAAAATATATACATTTTAGTGTTTTATTTAATTTTAATTTAATTAATAATGCAAACAATGCTTTTTAATTCTTTATTAGTTGTTAATTGAATATAGTCAGTGATTAATATACAGATGTCTTTTATAAGCATTTTCCATTTGTCACTAATTAAAACATTCTAGTGGGTTCATTTTTTTATTTTACAAATGAAATTTTGAAGAAATAATATTATATTTAAGCAGGTAACAATTTTTTTTTTAATTTAAAAATCCAAATTAATAACATTAATTCGGTTTTGTACCTAACAATTCTAATTAACCAACTCGATAAGTATTCATTTAATAATGATTAACGAAAGAATTTCTAATCTAATTTTTTCCTTAGTGGTAAAAGTATTTATAATTCGTATACTTAATTATGATTAATTGATTTAATAGCATCAAATAACTTCATTTATTTTTTTTTTCCTCTTTTTCTTATCAGAATCTATAATAATTTCAATTCGAAAGAAATGATAAATTGTTCAGACTTTTTGATAATCTATTAAATTATTGAAAAAAAAAATTCTCGTATAAATCTTTTTCCGGTGAACTTTAATTACGAAAATAAAAAATAATTTATAACGAAAAACATTTTATATATAATGGCAATACAATGGAGTTACTATGAAGTTTTTCCACATTTATTTTTATGTTTAAAAATGACAAAAAAATAGATAAAATTAATAGAGTGAGCTATAAAACTGTTATTTCAATTAAAGTATGCATTTTTTTTTTAATGTTGATTC